GGGAGCGGAGCATAGGGTGCTCCGATTGTGCAAGGTGCTCTACGAGCTACGGCAGGCCCCGCGAGCATGGAACGCCAAGCTTGACTCCACGCTAGGCGAGCTTGGGTTCGCACGGTGGGCAACCGAGCATGCGCTCTGCACGCGGTGATGGGGGAAGGAGGAGCTCATCATCGGTGTGTATGTGGATGACTTGATCATCACTGGCGCACGTGCGGAGGACACCGATAGCTTTAAGCATGAGATGGCGGCTCATTTTCCAATGAACGATCTCAGCGCGCTCTCCTACTACCTCGGCATCAAGGTGAGATAGGGGAAGGAGGCGCTCACGCTCGGTCAGAGCACGTCTGCCTCGAAGCTGTTGGAGTGGAGCGGCATGGCTGAGTTCAAGCCGTGTGTGACTTCGATGGAGGAGCGATTGAAGCTGACGAAGGCCAGTACCGCGGCGAAGGTAGATGCAACACTCTACCAGAGCATCGTCGACGGTCTGCGCTACCTAGTCCACACGAGGCCGGACATTGCGTTCACCGTGGGCTACGTCAGTCACTTCATGGAGGATCCCAGAGAGGATCACTGGGCTACGGTGAAGCGGCTACTGCACTACGTCAAGGGGACGGTGGATCAGGGGATCGTCTTCCCCAAGACCGGTGGAAGTAGGCTATAGCTCACTGTGTTCAACGATGCAGACATGGCGGGGGACATCGACAGACGGTGGAGCACCTCTGGCGTGCTCGTCTTCCTCGGGTCGGCTCCAATCTCATGGCCGTCGCTGAAATAGAAGGTGGTGGCACTGTCCACATGCGAGGCAGAGTACGTGGCAGCGGCCAAGTGGCGTGCCAAGCTGTGTGGCTGCGTCGGCTGCTAGGCGAGCTAACCGGTGTGGAAGCTCACCCACCAGCACTGATGGTGGACAACCAGCCCGCCATCGCCCTCGCGAAGAATCCGGTTCTCCGCAACCGGAGCAAGCACATCGACGTCAAGTTCTACTTCCTCGGGGACTTTATCGATAGAGGGCAGATCGTCATCGAGTTTGTCGAAACTAGTCGACAACTCGCGGACGTCCTCACCAAGCCGCTTAGCCGTCTTCGACTCACGGAGTTGAAGAAGATGATCGGCATGGAGGGGGTTCTAGGGTTAGCAGCAGGATTAGGGGTAGAATTGTTAAGTAATCTGCTGCTCCCTTGTGCGAACGCACAGCAGGGGCAGACGGCACCGAAAAGGCTCCCTACTGTGACACTGTAGCCGCTGCAGGGGCAGGCGCCGAACGGCTCTCCTGCTGCACTGTAGCCACGCAGGGGCAGGCGCCAAAGTCAGCCCTGCTGTCACATCTAGTCACTGTAGCAGCATAGTAGCCTGACATGTCTGTGTACTAGGATTAGATGGATAGAGGTGTATATATAGTTTGCCACCGCAACTCAGTAAAGAGAGCGAGTTTAGTTTTGCCATCTCCTCTGCAGAGCTCCGGCCAACGCTGGTGCTTATGCTGTGTGTGTGCTCTGTTCTCCCTCCCTTCTTCTACCTCTTGCCATAGTGTGTGGTCGGCATCGCTAGTGTGTGCTCGGCAACACTAGTGAGTGGTCGGCTAACTCCGTATTGGAGATCCAGGGGCTAACAGAAAATTATAGAAACATTTAAGTGGAAAGACAGTTCTATGTGTTCTTCTCTCTTTTTTTCCTTTTATCATCTTTTGTTGAATTTTGTTCTCACTTCTCACCACATTTCCTTCGTATATATGCCTCATGATTTTGTACATTTGATATATGATGTCAACTGTTCTTGTTCAAAGCAGTTAGGATAACATGTCACATATTTTGCCCTTTTATTATTTTTCTACTGTTCACAGGAACATGTTTCTACAATGGCCCCTTCTCATCCTGTGTGGTGTATGCCCACATATATGTGTCAGTTCTACAAATGAGTGTTTAAATTAACTTGGAGAAAGCAGACAATGATGGGAGGTTTTGTGAGTCTTCAAAAATGTTTGCTAAGCATTTTCGGTAGGTTCCTTAATTCTTCTTTATGTTTGTATGTATGGGTAATCTACATGGTTTGAGATCATTTCAGTCAGATTACATACATCATAGCTTTCATGAAAGCACTTTTGGTGCATGGTGCAGGTGACAAGATTAACTGAGAAGCTCAACTGAACCCCCCAAAGCTCCAATAAGTCAGGTACCATTGAGCACTGAATTGTAAGTAGTAATTTCCAAGAAGTTTCACTTTAGTCATTTGCTGCAGGTCTTAGTAGTCCTTGCATCTCAGGTTGCAAATATAGATACTATAGTGCCACTTTAAAGTAACAGCAACTGCTAGCTCATACACCGTACAACAGTAATGGTATTTTGGCCTTCCAGGAATAGGTACATGAGTAGGTTTTAAATAGTACCATGGAATGTTCAACACTAAGCTGCTGAAATATTTTCAGTCCTAGCATATATTTCCTTTTTTGTGTCTCCACAGAGTGAACTAATTTAAGTAAACCCTACGTTAAGTTCTCATCAACTGACTTTTTCTTCGGTGCTCCATGTGTGTACTGCATAGTGTTTGTTTGATGTTGAAAAATGGAGTGTGAACAGTGACTACACCATCATATCTCAAAAATACACCTATATCAAAAAAGGCAGTTTTAAATCTGTTCTGAACAAAATTGTGTGTTGCTGTGTCAATGAGCTCGCCTACTGATGTGCCAATATCAGTTGTCATGGCTACGGCCCATAAAGTATCATTTACATAATCAAAGCTGTCGATTAATCAGTTAGCTATTTCATTTGCCTCACAGAGTCCTAAACAAAATTGATAGCCTTTCGTATAACACTTCCATATATAATTTGCAGATGAAGAAGCAAAGAGCTTACGCAGCAGGGAAAGGGCAACAACCACAGGACTTCATCACAGCAACAGCATAAGTAACCAAGGTACACACATACTACCTATTTATTCCCCAAATGTTGTAGCCAACTGATAGGTCATATCTGCCAAAAGCCCTTACAGTAAAGTATACACCGCCTCTAGGGGAAAACAATTATACCATCTAAGTTAGAGTTACATCCATCAGTCAAAACTACTATTACACAAACCTTGGTTACACACCCTCCTAATTCCTATATATTGCTTTTTTTGGGTGCGTCACCTGCAACACTGTTCTTTTCCAACGAAAAAAAAGGAACTATAGTTCATCTATTTCAGCTCCACCATTTATTGATTCACTATGTTGTTTCTTACACCAGGTAACGCCACCCAACAAGATGTCGACTTCCATTTTGTGGCATGCACAGGACTGAATTTCACACATGCAAGACATCCAGCGTTTCCTTAGCATGCCAGTCCTATAAAGCTATGAAAGGTTCCAAGCCACCCCAACAATAGGTCGTCCTGTGAAAAAAAAGAACACATGCTCCTCAGCCTGTGGTCTACATATTAGCCACGCTATTGTAACCTCAATTACAATTAGTTAACTATAGGTGTATAATCCACCCAAAAACTCGCCTGTCTTTGTTCGACGTCGGAAAACTGCAGACGTGTTCCCTAGACTGATACTATGTAGGAAACTGAATGTGCTCTGATTGCCTTAATTTTGTACCTTATTAGTCACAGCACTTAAAAATTTGTATCCTACTAGTGGTAATTAAGGACCGTACCGGACGGGACCGATCGACGAAGCGGTCAGCGGGAGGGCCGGGGGGGCGCCGGTCTTGCAGAGAGCAGTGCAGTAGGTAGGGTTCGTGGATATGGGCAGGCATATGGCGCTGCTGCCTGCCTTGCATTGCATTGTGCCCAGTGTAGTTGTTGTGTCTCCATCTATCTATAACTACGACGACGACGAGGAGGAGAACGTTGTCGTGTGGATCGCGCGTAACTACCCAGATGCGCATGAGCCACATGAGATACCTAACTCCCATCTCATCCATTCATCAGATCCTCTTCATCCTAGTTATATACCTCCATCCCATCCATTCATCTCGCTCCTCTCAGATCCTCTCATCAGCTCATCGATATAAGAACAAGGTACGGTGCAATCGACTTCCTCCGATCCTCTTCATCCTAGTTATATATACCTCGATCGTTTAATTTTTATACGTACACTTAAAACATGCATGCATGCATGCACGTCAAATTATTGTTCTCATTATCCTAATTAACTAATGGGAAGAAGGAAATTAAGGAAGCTTAGAGCGTCTCCAAGAGAATCTCCATACCATTTCTAAATGCTAGGGACAGAGATTTTTGTGAAAAACTACCCTCCAACAGCTTCTCTAGATGGTCATCCAAATCTTTTTTTTCTGGATTTTTCGTTAGCCAAAAATAGAAGACGAGAATGGCTCTCTAGAGTGCGCATGAGATAAAGAAGAATTGTTGAAGAGTGAAAAAAATATAGAAAGCGATTTTTATGCAAATGGCTCTTCAAATGATGATTTAGAGAGTGAGATTTAGAAAGGTTCTTGAAGATGCTCTTACATAGTACCTTTTAGTGCTGTAGCATATGTGTATATTTCTCGAGTTTTTGTATACTTTTATATACCCCCTCCGTCCACAAAATAATGTAAATATCGTATTTCAAGAAACCAAATACTTTCAAGTTTGACCAAATTTATGGAGAAAATTAGTAACACTTATGTTATAAAATAAATATCATTAGATTAATCATGAAATGTACACTTTCGTAATAAACCGATTTAGAGATGTAAATGTGAATAAAACTTGGTCAAACTTGAATTCTTTTAACAGGCACGGATACCATAATTGCATTCTTTCGTAGACGGAGGAAGTATGTGATATATATATGTTTAATTTTATTGCAGCTAGCCAGCTTCTCATATTATATAGAAACACATTTTCATTTTATTTTATTTTATTCTTTTTGGAAATTAATCAACCATGTTATTAGAATGAAGATGTACTAGCTAATTAATACAATTCCGTTGACACCCATCGTCATTTGCATATATCATCGTTTCGTTGGTTGCAGCAGCAGCATTTGAAGCGGATACATACATAAAGGAAAAATGGCGGCGCCGACATCACCGTACAAGCCGAAGAGGATCCTAATCACGGGCGCGGCGGGGTTCATCGCGTCCCACGTGGCGATCCGCATCGTGCAGAAGTACCCGGAGTACAAGGTGGTGGTGCTGGACAAGCTGGACTACTGCTCCAACCTCAAGAACCTGCTCCCCGTGAGCAGCTACCCCAACTTCAAGTTCGTCAAGGGCGACATCGCCAGCGCCGACCTCGTGAGCTTCATCCTGGCCACCGAGGGCATCGACACCGTGATGCACTTCGCCGCCCAGACCCACGTGGACAACTCCTTCGGCAACTCCTTCGAGTTCACCAAGAACAACATCTACGGCACCCACGTCCTGCTCGAGTCCTGCCGGATGGCCGACGCGGGGCAGATCCGGCGCTTCATCCACGTCAGCACCGACGAGGTGTACGGCGAGACGGACGGCGACGCGGTGGTGGGCAACCACGAGGCGTCGCAGCTGCTGCCGACGAACCCGTACGCGGCCACCAAGGCAGGGGCGGAGATGCTGGTGATGGCGTACGGGCGGAGCTATGGCCTCCCCGTGATCACCACGCGCGGGAACAACGTGTACGGTCCGCACCAGTTCCCGGAGAAGCTGATCCCCAAGTTCTTGCTGCTGGCCATGAGGGGACAGCGCCTGCCCATCCACGGCGACGGCACCAACGTCCGCAGCTACCTCTACTGCGAGGACGTGGCCGAGGCGTTCGAGGTGGTGCTCCACCGCGGCGAGGTCGGCCACGTCTACAACATCGGCACAAAGAAGGAGCGCACGGTGATGGACGTGGCCAGGGACATCTGCGGCCTCTTCGGCCTCAACGCCGACGAGGCCATCGAGTTCGTCGACAACCGGCCGTTCAACGACCAGAGGTATTTTCTGGACGACGAGAAGCTCAAGAGCTTGGGGTGGCGCGAGCGCACGCACTGGGAGGAGGGGCTCCGGAAGACCATGGAGTGGTACGTGGCCAACCCTGACTACTGGGGGGACGTGTCCGGGGCGCTGCTGCCGCATCCCAAGGCGGGAGGCGTCATGCCGGATCACGGCGGCCGGGGATCGTCCAAGGAGGTCAAGGGGATGCTCGATCGTTTCATTGTAACTACACCCCATCAAGACCAAGCAAAGACGACGGTGGTTTCTTCCCCAGCAGCGGCGGCTGGAGGAGCAGAGCAGGATGATTCCGGCGCAGCAGCAGCAGCAGCAATGGCGTACAGCAATGGCGCCAAAGCCGCCAATGGAACCACCACCACCGTGCATTGATTACCTGCAGGCCGGCCAGTCCTAGTGGCCGGCCGGGTTTCACATTCACACCTGAATAATCCGCCACGACAAATTATCAATCGCGTGATTATTTTCAAGCTATTACTATGTATGTACTTGTACGCATGTATTTCCGGCGGTTAATAATACAGAAATGCTATACAACACATATGTGTTTTAGTAAAAAAACATATGATTTTTTTTATCTATGACGTCTAGGGCCCACATGTCATAACCGACGTGCATGGAGACACCACGCCCGTGCCTCCCCGGCCTGCTGCTCGCGCTACTTCCCTGCTGCCCCGCGCGGCCCCATAGTCCTCCCAGCCGGCGGTGGATGAGGCACAGCTGCTGCTCCAGATCAAGCGCGCGTGGGGCGCCCCGCCCGTGCTCGCTGGATGGAACGCCTCGGCCGCGGGCGCACGCTGCGCGTGGCCATATATGACGTCTAGGGCCCGCGCCGGCCAAGGCAGTGGCGGCGGCGGCGGCGGATCCAGCTCCAGGTAGGCCTCTCCTCCTCCTCTGCGATCTGTAATTTGTCTTTCCATAAAAAAAATTGTTTCTTGTGATCCGTGGATCTGTGATCTTGTGATTTGTGATTGTATGGAGATAGAAGAAGGCTGAAGGCTGGAGGTAGAAGAAGAGTGGAAGCGGTTGGATCTTAATCCTTTGGTGCAAAAAAATCATGTGTTGAAACTGCATAAAACACATGGTTGTGTAGTAGACAGACTCCGCCGCATGCTGCTATATTGTTGGATCCATGCATCATGTCCCTTTAATCGTACGTAGTGTTGCAACGTTTTCAAACATTCTTGTTCTTGTTTTAGCTGGTTATATCATTATTGGACGAAGTTAACCTATGATGGCGACCCTTCTTCCTCCCCGCGACGCGACCCTCCTCCGACGCCCCGTCCATGGCCGTCGAGCACCCACGCCCCGTCCATCCTCCTCCTCCTCGCCCTCGCCACCGGCCACCGCCCCGCCGCGGGTGCTAGGGTTCGCCGGAACCCGAGCGCCCATGGCGACCGCCTTCTCCCCCTCTCGCGCGGAGCTCCGCCATGGTCATGCTCACCGGCGACACCGAGCTCCGAGCTCCGGCCATGGCGCCCCCGTCCCGACCTGGCCCGGCCACCGCGACCACCGCCAGGCCCTCTAAACCGTCCATCCTCCTTCCCCACCGCCTGACCAGCCTGCCTCTCCCAACCGGCCCTTCTATAGCCCATCGGATTTGGGGAAGAAGGGTGGGGCGCGGCCGCCGGAACCCTAGCACCGCCGCCTTCTTCGTCTCCGGCGTGAACAGATCCAGGAGGAGGAGGAGGCCTATCTCGCCAACGCCAATGCCGCCGGAGGGGAGAGTGGGAGGAGCTCGCCTGGGGAGGAGGATGAGCTCGGGCGTCCTCGTGAGCGTGGGCTCATGCGCGTGGGAGAGGGAGAGGGGGCGCAGGTGCGTGGGAAAGGAGAGGGAGAGGGTCGCGCCGTCCGCTCGGAGCGTGATGGTCGTGTATTAGAGATTCCGATCATTATTACTGTTTTGTTAGTATATACCATCACAAATTTTATTTAGCACACCATTTAAGCCTCATTTATATCTATTGAATGCAGGCAAAAAAATTGTCAAAGGACATAATGGATTTCACCGTTACGTTGCTCTCGTCGAGATGGATCGTTATTTTAGAGTGTAAAGAAAGAGAGAAAAAAACATTTTTCGGATGCTGATGCAGCAAACAGGCCCTGGCCGAATAATTGGCGGTCCTGCTCTGGCTCTCTGGCTCTCTGGCTCTCTGGCTCTCTGCTATGCTGTAAACAGGGGACCGGCAATTGGTGGTAAGCTGACTCACCTCCCTCTGCCTTTTTTTTCTTTCTTTCTGATGACCCTCTCCTCGTTGAACATCCGTCCTCTACTCCTATCAAAAAAATGTATCTTCTCCTGCATGCATGGAGCAACAGCATGCAGCAGCATCCGACTTTCAAAAGTTACCAAGAAAGGCAGATGTATATAAGATCTATCTTCTAGTTGCCTCTGTGTGTGCTAATTTAATGAACAACGTCTACAGCATGTAACACGTAATTATTACTGGTTGTCAGCTCGTTTTGTTTGTGTGTGGTCATGAAGAATGGCTATACAACATGTAACTGGATGCTGATTTTGTAACATAACTGGGTGTTACTGTTGTACTCAACTCATGTTTGCGTCTTCTTCTCAGGGGTATAAACTCTTGGAATTTAGTGGTAATTGCATGCTTGATCCTTAGTTTTTGCAATAAAAAACAAATGAAAGTTTTCCGGTTATCTAACAATAAACCACTCGTTCAAGGGTGGAAGAGTTGTCTTATACTATTAACTAGAGTATGTTCGGTAGAGCTCCTTCGGACCCTTTTTTCATGGGAGGTAAGTCTATATAAGGACTTTGTATGCTAAACTTTAGCTTACGTAAGAGTGGTTCAATGCTTGGAGAGAACAAGCTCGGAGCCTCATCCTAGTTCATTTTAGGGAACCAATTCTCCATAAAAGAAATTGTTTAGCGGAGCTCCTCCTAATTCAATCTAATACCTAGAAATTGTTTTCATCCAGCCAGCCGAGCTCCTCCTAAATTCAATCTAATACCTACTAGCCGAATCCTTTTTCAAGAGCCCTTAGGCCCTTAGGCTTGAGCAGCTGAGATCGGTGTGCGGGAAGAAATAAAAGGGTACTTAATCTTTCTCTTTTTTAAGTGTCCTTATGCTAGGCAAGCTTTCTTTCAGTTTAACTAGATTTGTAGAAAATATTAGCAACATTTGTATCTTTAAACAAGTGTATTATTAAAATAGATTTAACTATCTATCTAATGATATTAATTATGCACTATAAATATTAATGTTCTCTTGTATATATATATATTTAGTCGAAATTAAGTACTTCCTTCATTCCCAATTATAAGTCGCTTTAGCTTTTTGATATATTCATTTTGCTATACATCTGAATATAATAATATGTCTAGATATGTAGCAGCATGAATGAACAAAAAAAATCAAATTGACATGTAATTTAGGACAGAGGAAGTACGTTTGATTTCTCGAGAAGTGAGCCGTTAGAAAGGGACGGAGGAAGGACATCGACGAGGTTAGGCGTGTTAGTTTGTCCATCTCCATCGCAATGATCGGAGAGCCAAGTGGGGAGAGCACACATACTCTGATGGATTGATGGGCCGACACTGACTGGATCGGATTTGTTGTTGGTGACTGGCTCTGGCTGGTTAGTGCACGACACTACCACTAGTAGCGTGGCTACCAGAATCGCAGAAGCAGGTAGCTTTACCAAATTCCAGGAGGGCAGGGCAGGGCAGAGATCGAACGAAGCCACTGTAGCAGCCAAGAGCGCGAGATCCATGGCGCCTCCTCCTCCTCACGAGCCGGACAACTGCGGGTACTTGTTACTTACTCCGTACTACGCTACAAATGTGAAACCCAGGTAGTGATGCAGCTGCTTGCAGGTCGGAGGCAGCGCCGGCGGTGGACGTGACGGCGGCGAGGGACCTTATTATCTCCTCTGCCGGCGGCCACCGCTACCTGGACGTGAGGACGGAGGAGGAGCTCGCCAAGCTGGGCCATCTCGTGGAGCCCCAAAGCTCCCTCAACGTCCCCTACATGTTCATCACTCCGGAAGGTAAGCAGAAATCAATCTCTCTGTTTAGCTCTAAAGCTTGTTCAGTAGTACTAAGGTGAGGTGCTCTAGCTGCGGGCTGTGGCTGTGGCTGCATCTGCAATCTCCATCCCTGCATCCCTGTATCCGCAGCAGCTCTGCCTATAACAACATCCGCTTTAGCTCAAGCAAATATATATCTTAAAATATCTTGGTCTTTCTAGCTTCGTAATTTTTTCTATATATTTATATATGCACTGTTACTACGTATGTATCAACGAAAAAAAAACTTGTAATTAGGAATGGAACGAGTATACATATAGCCTCCGTTCACATTCACAATTCACTTACATGATGTTTGTTTGGGGAATATGCTAGTCCATCATCATTTTACTCTTTGACCTTTTTTTTTTGGTTTGGTCCGTGAAATAAAATAGGTTGATCTGTCATCACCTTGTTCCTCAGAAATAAGTTACTATTACAAGAAATGAAGTTATTTTACTAAATTTGAGGAATAGACTCGTGATGCACCATCTTATCTAGAATTGTTTGATGTCTCAAGCTAAACACCCTATTGATTACTGCTGCTAATCCATGCCAATGCCATGTCCATGTACCTAGCCGCTATATATGCCTATGTTCATGCATATGGCCATCAAAGCGTCCATATACAATACACGCTGGCTTCCAACCTGACAGGGATAAAATAAACAGTCCATCATGCGCGCACGCGCGTCGGTGGTAAAATAAATAAAGCAGCACCATAGGCACACGGTTATATATACTGAAAAGATTACAACAGCAGCATAGTGCATAGAGACATGCTTAGATTTTTTCTGCCAGAAACGTTGAACCTTATGCACAAGCAAAATAAATCCATACATACAGGAAACGAAAGGTGCCAAAGGAAATAAAGTGGATTTTTTTTAGGCTACCATACCAAGACAAAGCAAGTTCAGGGAGGAAGAAATAGAGCATAGCATGGATTTACGAGGTGCTATCCATTCGTAGATGTACCGAGATGTGTTCCCATTTCAAGGAAACGAATGGATCCATTGATACGTGCATCAGTGTTTAATAAATGGAGAGATGAGATGGAGATTTAAGGAAACCATGTAGGTTTTCTTGTTGAATCCGTCAATCTCTATCATAGATCAGAAGAGAGCCCATCCGAAGGGATAGAGGTTAAGGGAAAGCAAAGCAACTACCTTTTCTTCTCGAATCCGTCAATGTCTAGCACAGATCAGAAGAAGGAAATAGAGGCGACCGTAATGGGACTAATAGAGGAGAGTGATGTTCTTGCTTCACCTGGGAGATAACAAGCGAACGGAGCAGAGGGGACTGTAGCGGAGGCACCGGAGGCCATAACCGTCGGGGCTAGGCGCGCCGCCGCAGCACCTGCCGGGGGCTCACTGCCGCCCCACTCGAACCCAGAGTGGGGAGCCGGCCATGGCCGGGGGGTGGCACCACCAAGGCCAGGCGGGGGGAGCGGCCACCGCGAACGACCGAGCCAGGGGCGTTGGCCTGCCTGCGACAGTAGCCGGCCGGCGTGCGGCACCGCGTGGGTACAGAGAGAGAGAGAGAGAGAGAGAGAGAGAGAGAGAAGAGAGGGGAGGAGCGTCCCGTGGTTGGGGCACGCGGAGCGGCGGCGCTGGCGCTGGCAAGGGCGGCTCGGGGAGGGAGGAAGAGGCTACTGGCTGGTTGTGGAAGCGAGGAGAAATTTCTGGAGAGCCAATAGTTTTTTTAGAGCAACCACCTATAGGTAACACGTTGAGCAAACAGGAAAGAGCATTGGAAGTAAATCTAGACCGTGAAATTAGAATTAGACGGATAAAATCTTTTTTACTACCGTGGATGTCCTGAACGGCGTCCAAAGTCTCATGCTTTGATATATTAGATAAAGGTGGTATATGAGCAAATTTTTTTATTATCTGATTGACACATTCGCGCGCAGGAAGCCGGGTGAAGAACGTCCAATTTGTGGAGCAGGTGGCGTCGCTTTTGACCAGCAAAGAGGAACCCGTCCTAGTGGTACCACGTCACCGTCTCATATATACTACGTAGCTTTCATATATTATATTAGTATACATACCAACTAGAGGAGTCTATTCCTGCGATAATGCCTAGTAATAATGCATGCAAAATAAAACATATATATTTGCAATCTGCAGGGGTGCCAAAGCGGCAAGAGATCAGAGCTAGCATGCATTGATCTCCAAGCAGCAGTAAGAACTGTACACAACATCGTCACAGATATACTTTACTACCAACAGCTTGCCTACTCTGATGCACACAACATATGCCTGCAGGGATTCAAGAAGGTCAAGAACATGGGAGGTGGCTACCTTGCCTGGGTGCACCATGGCTTCCCCGTCCACCACGGCACCACCCACTCCCCGTCCCCGGCGACATGGAACATGATGCATCTCCACGTCCACCAACACCGCCACCAGCACCAAGCAGCCAAGCCTAGCCTCAATGGCGGCCACGCACAGCAGCAGACAGATCCCTAAGCCTCATGTGCCGCAAGCAAGCAATTCAAGCCCCTGCCTCCATCAGCGTTCTACAATGCAATCTACTCTCTACTCTACTCAGCAGGCAGGCAAAATAAAATAAAGCTACCGCCCTCTACTTGCTGCTATAAACCCTAAACTGTGTCTACTTCTACTTGTATGATCCGACAACTGTACGTGTATGTGGTGCCAATAAACTAAACACATGGTAAATGCCACCTAACATTCACGGATGAACAATCCCACCTACTACAGTTTCTCACAGAATCAACCAGTTGAGGAATGCTGGATCCCAACCACCAGCACTCAGTCAATCACATGACATACACAATGAATGAGCAAGATGGCCTATTGCCCTACACTAACTCATGAAAAAATTAATATTCAATTGATTTTATCATCCAGACAACAGTATGCAGGGAGAAGAAGCTATGGTAAAAAAAAAAAAAAAAAAGGCACCTCGTCATAAAAAGGAGGAGGCAATTTTGATTCCGATCTTGATTTATACAAGAACCCTCAAATGCGTGTCCCCAGGTTCATTCAAGTTCTACAAACAAAGGGTCAGGGGAATACCGTCTATTTATCTGATTACTGTTGGCACTGATATTTTTGTTGCTTCAACATGCACCCTCTCATCAAGGGTCGACATCACCACCAAAACAAAGAGGCTCTCGTTGGTTGGACCTGCCATTTGCCTCCTTGGTCTTGTCATGGCAAAACCTATAGAGGCTCCGCTGACTTCTGAGTCCTTGAAACAATCAGATGGTTACAATAAATATGACTCGACGACAGTACGCCCAAACTTCTGTTGGACATCCTTTGGAGTTTCAATCTGCAAACAAGTTGATGGAAAAATTAGACAAGATGACCTACAAATAAGTATCAAGAATGAGAAGATTGAAATGGGTAGATTTTGAGAAAGAAATGGGCACACATACAGCATTCAAAGCTATGAAGAGAGCTTTAATCACATTAAGTGGGTTCCTTGATCCAATAATCTGCAAGACAAAAGGCAAGAAAAGAATATCACAACTTTGAAATACAAAAAGGACTAATAGTGATCGCTTGGACTTTAGAATCACACCTTTGTCTTGACGTTGCTGAAACCAGCCAAGTACAGCACAGTCTCAACAGTCCTACCAGCAGCAGACATTCCACTCCTCATTGGTCCAGGCCAGAGGTATATCTTAAGATACACAAGCAGCCATCAGACCCACCAGAGTTACCACAGTAGGATTCACATATACAAGAGAGATTTCGTATTTCCGTGTGTTCACCTTAGTTTTCTCATATTTGGCCTGGATAGCATGAGCAATTGTGTGATCCTCGTATCGCTCCATGTAGTGGAGATTCTGGAAGCATTTCTCATATGCCTGGTGAAGAGAAGGGGGAAAAAAAAAGACACGTCCTGTAAGACCTTGATGCCTCAGTTGACTCAGCTAATTCCAAATGAAGCATGAAACCAGTTGCTCAACCATCAAGCATACGATAGAGATTCCCAGGTAACTAATCAGATATTTTCGAGGTCAAGGATTCTCTATTATTATATATATACTACTTCTGTAAATATCCCAACCCACAAAGGTTTAGTTGTCTTATCTATTATTAGGAGTCTACAACTCAATGCTACTGCCTTAACTGGCACCAGGAACAAGTTTAGTAATTTGTTTGGAAAGGTAAATCATCCATACCCTCTGTATTGCAATCTTGGCTGTTGGGCCTTTAGCTTTCGCGAAGCCAACAACACCATTGTAATTTCCAGTGGCCAATAGCGCTGTGAATTTTGCTATTTGTCCTCCCTGATAAGCACGATGTAAAATTAGGCAACAGAGTTGGTGAAAAGGCTATAATTAGCAGTTGAAGTCACTCAAACAAAGAACACTAACCTTTGTGACTTTGCATGTCCTGTTAACGTCAATAACTTTCACATCAAAACCCTGTAAGGTGTGTCATGGCGATATCCGTGTTAGCACATAATGCAACATGAAAGGCATCAATGGAAGATAGATCCAGACAAAAGTTTGCTAGGCCGATCGGACCATTTTCAATTGATGATTCTACTTACTTTTCTGTACATAGGTCTCCTCTTCTTCTCAGACAGGGAATTACGCTCCTCCACCAAATCCTTGATTTCCTCCTCCAAAACTCTGCCTTTCTTACCGAAGGTATGATCCAACAGTTCTAGCTTCTCCTCAATCTTCTTTTCAATAGCATTGAGTTTCTCTATGAGCATATCATCCCTCTCCTTTGCCTCATTGAATTCCTCCTCATCACCCTCAAGTTCTGCCCCTTGGATCATCTGCTTCTCCTTATCAAAGCCAGCATTGAGCATGACATCCTCTGGAGAACCAACCTGCTGGTGCTGGATGAGCCCAAAGTTTGCAGGGTTACTGGGGTCGTAGGCCTCCTTGATTTCCATGATCCTGACGGCTCGGTTGAGCTTCTGAAGGAGAACGAAGCGCTCTTTCCCCGTGGCATCCTTGAGAAGGTTCATCATGTCGCCGATGACCCTGTACTCCAGTGGCAGTTTGAGATGGCGCTCCTCGAACTTGTTGATTTTGGTCATCCATTTGTGAGCCTCGTCCAGGGTGTCTGTCACATTTGTCGATGGCAGAGGACAGAGAATTGTTGAATTGAAGGGGACAAAAGTAACTAAATGTAGTGGAAATGGATGGAGGACGGGATGATGAGAGGCTGCTAGGTTTATTACCGGCCTCTGCGAATGATTGCAGGTACTCCCCATGGCGCTTGCACTTGCGCTCGAACTCGTCGACGCGTCGCTTGATGGCGTCGGGCGTGTAGCGCTCGTCGTCTTCGTCGCTGTCGGAGTCGGTGGGCTCCCAGAAGCCTTCGTCTGCGGCCGCCTCCTTGGCCTTGCGTCGCTCGAGCTTCTCTATGAGCGGCTTGACGCCCATGTAGTCCTCCTCCTCCTCCTCCTCCTCTGGCTCTTCCTCCTGGTCCTTGCCGTCCTTTGCGCGGCGGTCCTGTCGCTCCCGCTGGCGCTCGCGCTCGACCTGAGCGAGCAGCTCGTGCACGACCCGCTCGCTCTGGATCTTCTGGTTGGGCCTGGCGCCCCCGGCGGAGGCGGAGAATGCCAGGTGGCGGCGCGGCGGCGTGATCCGCGAGCCTAGGTGATGTCGGTGGCCGGGGAGTGCGGTGGATTCCGCGAGGCTATGCGGCCGCAGGGAGAGGAGGCGGGCCCACGCCGCGGCGGCGCGGGAGCGTGCGGCGGCGGCGGCCATGGCGGCGGCGGAGAGAAGGGGAAGAGGGTTTTGCCAGCGCGTGGGATTTTGCACTGCACGCAAATTGGGGAATCGTCGCAACCGTAGCGGAATGGGCCTGTTCCAAAAAAAAAAAGAAATCTAGGTGGGCCCTTCATGGGCCTCCATTTACTGACATACTAAATTTAGCCCATGGGCTACCTCTCGCCTGGTCGCGTCCTTCCCATCGGGGGGCACCCGACACAACCACCCTGGCCGTGTCGTGTCGTGTCCGTTTCGGCCGCTCGGGGGGCAATTCCGTCCATCCATCCACAAAGAAACAATTGTCTCAGAAAACAAGAAAGAGGAGGAGGAAGCGGACGGGAATTGGATTCCGATTTGTTGTTTCTAGGGTTTGCTTGCTCATCCGCCTCTTCCCTCTCGCTCCCTCCAGCTCCACCAGACGCAGACGCAGACGCAGACGCAGAGGCTGGATCGGCGGCGGGATAGGCTAGCTATGATCCCCAATTCCATCTTCCTCTGATCTGCTTGGCGGTCGAATTCGGATTCGATTGGAGTAGGGAACGAGAAGGGAACAAATCTCCACCAGACAGCACGCGCCTCCATACTATGGTTTACGCCCCGTGCCGCTCATCGATGCTGCCGTCTTCCTCGCCGATGCTCCACAAGAACCTCCGCGCGCTCGGACCCGGCTTGAATCCCTTTGCTCCCTTCGGCATGGGCAACTACTCCCGCTAGTCGTCTCCTCCGATCCCTCTTCTCCGATTCCAATCTCTGAGTGCTTCCGCCACCACCCCGGCTGCTTCCTCCATCGGAACCGATTCCCGCTACTTTCTGTTTCTGCCCGTTCGCTTCATTGCTCCGTGGCTTTGGATCTGAAGCTGGAGATCCTCCCCTGTCCTGCTGCCCGAGGTGCCGCCAAGGATACCATGGTGCTGGTGCGCAGGTCGCTCAGCATGAGCCGCCCCCGTAGCTGCCACGACGCTGACGACCGTGGCTGGAACCCGCTCCATGTTGCTGCTCGCAAGGGAGACCTCAAGGAGGTAACCATCATTCATACATACCCTCTCTCCCGTTTTATTTCTCTTGATTGATTGGTGATACATTGCAGGCTATACGAAACTGGATTAGACTGTGAATGAACCCATACTATTGCCAAAACTTTGGAAGAGGGGAAAAGGAGCCTGCTATTGTATTTTGATTGATGGTATATAAAATATTCCCAATGGTCAGCAAATGTCAACTTATTAGGTGTAGTAAAGAATGGAAATAGACTGTAACATGTTATATCCATATTGGCAGAATACCATATACAGATTGCAGCACGTGATGGTTCGCATGAATTGCGTGCACACATCACACACAAATAAACACCAAATACATAAAAAGCAAGGTTCAAGAAAACGCTAGGCGCTAGGCAGGCGCTAGCCTACTGAATCCAATTCATCGACCCCATAAAGAGGTAGCACGCATAAAGACTAGCAGACTGCAGACCCCAATCCAATTCATCGACCCCATAAGGACTAAAGAGGTAGCACGCATAAAGGCTAGCAGACTGATCCAATTCATTGACCAACTAGGCAACTAGCACTAGCAAGCATCAAACTTGCAATTGCAATAGCCGGCGACAACGCAAGGGGCCGGACCGCAGGAGAACACCACGGCCTGCACCAGCTGCTCCTGCAGTGATTCCCCTCCAGGATGTGCCGATTTCTTGAGCAGCTCCCTCGATCCCCTCCAGGCTGTGTGATTTCTTGAGCAGGGGCTCCGCTCGCAACTAGCGGCAAGAGCGGCGGCAGGTCACGGCCTCGCGTGTCTGAGGAAAGAAAAGGAGCAGAGTAATTTCGCCGTACCTATCTAATCCCTCCCGCCCGCTCTGTTTTCGCACGCAGCCTGCGCTTGCCCATGCATTTTCCTGCGCGAGCGCGCACTCTCCCGCTCGTGCTTTCTGCACGCGCGCGGCTGCCGCCCGCCCGTCCAGCGACGCCTAGCGCCGATTTTTCACGCGTCCGTGCCGCCTACACGCCGCCTAGCGCGTAGATGCAGTGTCTAGGCGCGACCAGCGCTTAATTGGGCGCCTAGGCCCTAAACGAAACATTGGGCCTCCGTTTAGCGTTTAATCGAGATTAATTACGTGTAATTGCGTTTTTTCGAACCTTGTATAAAAGTGCACTCAGGTCAAGGTAACCAGTATTTCAGTAATTCTTTTTGTCACCACCCTGAAGCTAAGCAGAGCAATACAACAAGTCTCAATAGATGAATCCAAACAAACAACTGCTTCTAGATGTAAAACTAGTTTTGTTGGCCATCACCTTTATAATTATATCAAAATTCTGTGCCCATCTTAAGCCCATATGATCATGTTCAAAATTCTACTCTCTCAATTCGTTCTGAATTATCTGATTCTCAATTTTAGTTCCTCATCAAGTATTTTGCCAATCTTCATCTGTGACTGGCTGTACATAACTATTTCCCTTTTACTTATTCCTTGTTTTCATGTGCTTCAACTAGCAATAAATATACTGCGTTGACTCATTTGGCAATTGTTATAGACACATTTGGGAAGAAATACCACTGTTTTTACCTTCAGAATGATATTCATCCTATATTAACCTTTATTAATAATGTTCTCTTTTTATTTCTCTTGTTGCCTGTCGGTGCGACAGTGCCTAGTGCTAAATGTTTTTGTTTATTCACCTATCTTATTAGATAACAAAATATGGTTCTCTTTCTGCCTAGGTCCGACGTCTCCTGGATGATGGGATGGGCGTCAATGCACCTGCATGGGGACCAAAATGTCCTGGTGCTACCCCACTCCATCTGGCTGCTCAGGGTGGGCATGTTAAAATCATGGATGAACTACTGGAGCGTGGTGCCAATATTGATGCTCGAACCAAAGGGGCCTGTGGCTGTAAGTTCACACTTCCTCTGACTCATTGCCTGCACTGTTAGAGAGTAAAGTTGTTGACAATGCACAATTTGCAGTGTCATTAATCATGTTTCATGATGGAGTTGATGCTGCTTCATGAACATATCTTTCCAGCTTATGTTGACTGCCTTGCTATGTAACCACTATGCAGAGTTGCACTCCCCCTCCTCTGAGACCTGGATATTACATGTGTTTGCATAAGTATGCAGTAGTGATGCCTTCCTGGTTATTCTGGGCCTCAAATTCATTCAGTTTAAACCGAAGTTGTATCGGAATGATGTAACATGGTTTCAGTTCATGCGTAAGGACATATGTGGCAATTTTGTATGGAAGAAACCACTTCATGATTAAATCATATATGCTTCTACTTCTCTAGCAATAGTGTGTGGAAATTTATTGTAACATGTTTATACAGAATAATGATATGAGTAGACCTGTTCTTTTATCCTGGGAGTCTGATTGGCCCTTTTCTTGGTTGAACACAGGGACTCCTCTACACATTGCTGCCAAAGAAAGGAACAAGAAGGCTGTGAGGTTCCTGATTGAGAATGGAGCATTCCTTCCTCCTGAGATGAATGACCATAGGTTCAATCCCCCCCTCCATTACTGCTCTGGGTTAGAATGGGCATATGAGATGAAGCGCATGCAAGACGAAAGTGATTCACCTGGCGAGACTTCATTGAGCTCGGATAACTAGAGCAAAAGCAGCAGGTGCACCGAGATATGATGCAGTTTGAGAAAGATGGAGAAGTTATGTCAGGTCATATGGTGAGTTGTGTGCGCATCACCATTGAGTACATTTGCTTGATGTCTGGATGATGGAGCTGTCATCTTTGACTTTGAATAATCGTTGGATGGTACCTCTAATCTACTATGAGTGAATGTTAGATGATACCATACGGGTACTCAGCTGGGTGTTATTGCACTTTACCTGTAATCTGTTACTTCGAATGATTGTTGGATGTTACCAAACATGTAATTTTGTTGTTCAGATTTTAACATCTGAGTGGAAACATTCTATGTAGCATTCATTCTGCCACAGTAATCCTTGGATAAGTTCCTTGCGCGCTGTGGTTGCTTTTGCTGTGGAAGGGCGAAGCTGGTGAAGCAGCAGCAGCATACTACTCGATAAGTGACATGTCGAACCCGAGTCGTGGAACTGCCTTTGTATTTGGATCCCCTTTGGAATGTGGGATTTTTTTTTTCCAAATGCATTTTTCCTATGAGGGGCTAATTCCTGTGGATTTCCTACAGGATTCCTGTGAAATTCCAAGGAATTTGTTTCCAAGACAAAACTATCTGTGCATGTAATTCTCTATTCATCAATAATTTGATGCACAGCTGATTGAAATTTCCGTTTACCTGCGTGTGGACTAGGATGAGGTAAACGGAAATTGGTCTTGCAGTGAGCTTGGGAAGCAAATGTTCCCAGGCCAAATAACAAAGCTTTAGCAGACGAGACGGGTATAGGCAAGGAGAGGCACATTTGTAACTGTTCAGAAAGACACTGATCAGTTAAATGCTTGCTTCGAAAGACATTTGCCGGATTATCATGGGCAATTCTCATGCACGGCATCGACCGGCTTGTCCTCCAGGAGTACTTACTAATTCATGATGATATGCATATGTATTGGTATTCACTCTTACATTCTAAAACACCTGAGCTTGATCTGGGTACCCCCAAAGGTCTTCACTAGCAAAGCTAATTATGCCGCTCCTAAAGCAGCAACAAGTACCAAGGGCACCAGTACTCACAACTATCACCATAATCATGAAGCTACCTCAACAGCAAAGCTAGGGAACGTGAAGAAAGAGCACATTTTCTGACCAGTACAAGCAGCAGTCAATAACCAAATCGCACCCTCAATAGCAACATAGCATCGTTGAAACTTTCTTCTCGTGCTTAAAGCAAACACCACACTTGAGCAATACACTGTGGGGCAAAGTTACATAAGTCTTGCATCCATTCCGTAAACACAAACTACTGCAGATAAGCTACCTTACAAGCATGGCTACCCAAGCAAAGATTTTGCAACTAGGGCAAAAGCTTGGTTTGCCTGATAAAAGCGTGCGCGATCCTTTAGACAGATCTACCTCCTCACAGGGGGTGCACCACCTCGTCCAACAGGACCACCGCCACGACCAGCAGCAGCCTACATCAAGTGGCAGGCAAAAGGTTAGAACATATGTATAACACAAAAGTATGCACACAAATAAAAGGATCTGAATGTGTGCAGGCATATATCAGATTCATGCAAGTCGTGTAAATACAAAGATGATTTCAATGCAGATGGTTGCACATTTTAAAGTTCACATGCGAACACTCCCAAGATGCTTCAAATTCAAAATTCAAATTCCCTTATAAGTGGGTGCTGACTGCTGATTGGTAGGCAAAAACATAGGAAATGTGATACATGACTTGTTGTGATCAAAGTCAGAACAGTTCATATTCTTCATGCTTTCTTACGCAAATTAAGCTAGATTGTGTAAATACATTTGTTCTAACTTCATGGTGTACTCTCACATTTTAGTTCTGGGTAGGAAGATTTCAAGATCAAACGGTTGAAAAGAAAAGGGTGACTTCAAACACAAAATACTCTTTTCTTAGTATAAATCCACAGGCTCGGGAGAAAGTAAAATCAAGACTATTACCCATCTTGAAGAGAAGGTGATAGTGCAACTAGCAAGGACATTCAATAGCAACTAGGGATGAAACATGGAAACAGCGTGTCTTAGATTTAACATGAGAGCAACTACAGGAGAAAGACGTTCTAATGTGCAGGAGCAATAAGCCAGGTGAGGCTCATGATCAATAGTAAGAATTGCATTGCCTCTCCCACACTAGTCTAGCTAAAACATATATCAAGCTGCTTGCCTTGGTTCAAATGATCATGCAAAGAGTGACGTGTGAGAATTGCAGCATGGCAAAGAATGGGGATTGGGCAATGCTGTCAAAGGCGTGTCTAGATTACTAGATATGGAGGACTGCTCTATGATGTTCTGTGCTTATAGCTATTTGGATAATGTTGCATGTGTTGGACTGCGTTCAGCATCATGAACTACATCTAGACAGCAGTTGAAGATTTATTCACAGGAGCTAAGAATCTTGTAAAATTCAAAATTTATGGAGTTATTGAATGAATCAAATCCTTCCAGATTAACAAGTGATGCTTGTGGAGAGAAAGCAAGATGTGATTACCCTAGCACGCATGGCAACCGCGCGGCCTCGGCCGACACCAACAGCTGAGCCTTTACCCTGCAGGAAGATGAGCGATGGTTAGCAATTAAGCATGTGCTAGTATTTCTTTAGTGTGGTATATAACAAGATGAGGAAGAAATGGCAACAGTGGCATCATAAATAAAGGTGGTATGAACAAAAGAGGGAGGAGCAGGTGTAAGAGTGCTGACCCTAATCCTGGCCTCGAGGCGCTTGAACATCGGGGCGTTCTTGAGCATGTCGGGTATGATCATGAACCTGACCCTGCTCCCTCTGATGAAGACGTGCTCCAGCTGCGACACCTTGCCGTCCTGGAATCCATCCATTGCTTGAACATTATTCAACAGAGATTTATTGAGAGACGAGGCAAACCAAACCAAACGAAACGAACCTTTGCCGTGAAGGTGATGTTTTCGAGCTGGCAGTTCCAGTTGTCCTCGCACTCGACCATGGAGCCGCGGTAGACCTCGCCGGTCTTGAGCTCGACCGTGACGACGTGGCCCGCCGCCTCGTGCAGCAGCTTCACCGGGATCCCGAGGCTGCGGCTCATCCTCTAACTGGATGGTCGGGCTCGCACGAGCTGGAGGAAGCCCTTACCCTGTCGTCGGAGGCTGGGAGCAGCAGCGGGCAGGAGTCGGAATCGTCGAGGCCTCCAGTGGACGAGGGGAAAGGCGGCGGCGCGGCGAGGGTTTGCTTTGGTTGAGGGGTTTCTCTGCTCCCTCCGCCTACAACTCAGGTATGCTTTGGTTGGGCTGGGCTGGGATCATTGGCCCTGGGCCGGACCGATTCTCTGCTTCTTGGAGTTTCAGGCCCACTCGACTCCAAACATCACCCCACTTCTATATCTATATCTATATCTATATCTATATTCTATACCTATCTATATTTCCCTCAAAAAAATCTATATCTATATCTACGTCTATATTTATATCTATATCTATATCTATATCTATATCTACATATATATATATTTACACTTATATATAATAATATAAAGAGCCAAAATTCCTCCCCATTTTTTTGGGTATGGCTTCCCTGAATGTGAAACTCTCTCTGTTTGTATATAGAAATAGAAAATGTCTATGTTCGTCTCTCTACGACTCTCCTAAGGAATTCTAATTCTATCCAAATAGATCTCTTAATCCTGAGTAAACTGAATAGGAATTCTAGCCCAAATAGAAAAAAGTTTAAGTAGAAATTAGGCAAAATCTTATCTTACTCGTAATATTAACCAAAAAAGAGTTTGGCCGAATGTTTATTGTTTCCAGAGGATTTGAATTTCCATCTAGCAGATTGTTTGTCCTATCTAGAGAAAGCAGTCGGTCTTGCCTGGGTGCATGGTGTTCAAACCTAGAAGAAAAGGAGAACAAGGAATCTTAATGATCCTACTCTGTTTATATGTAGGATCTTACTAAACTCTTAGACCTTGGTAAGACTATATATACGTGGGAGTTCTATGTTGTAATCATCAAGATTAATAAAAGAAATAAAGAATAGTCTCCTTAGCTCTTCTGTGTCTATGTGTTCTACTTTATCTACTATGTTCTACTTTCATCCGACGTTATTAGCGGAGCGGATATGCTATCTCTACATGCAACTAACCTGCACTGCATCGACATATATTGTTTCCGTCAAGTAGCCTGTTGTACGATAATGTTAAACACCCTAAACAATATATATCTACTAACCACTTTCCTACGTGACATGTGAGGTAGATTAAATTGATCGACATATACTTTACAAGGCATGATAGAATTGCATCCAGTAGATCGTGTTTGCCCTGTAGATGACTATTGAGTCGGGCTTTTTTCCGAGGGAGTCGGGGTAATTTTTTCTACACGGGCGCGTAGTAGTAGATATATGTACAAGAAGTACGTATGCATGATCGTGTATGAGCAATAACATGTATACCCATATGCTTGCACACGCGCGCATATATGAGAGAGAGAGAGAGAGAGAGAGAGAGAGACGAAACACAAGCAGACTGCCAACAGCATGTGTGGCCTCTTTTCCACACGGTGCCTGCATGCACCGCGCACCGATGCACGTATCAAAAGGCTAACAACCGCCAATCCCGACCCTCTGTACGTGCCTGCATATGCTCCACATACCTACACCTGCAAGGACTTGGCCATGCATGCGCAGCTCGGCCTCGGTTACCATCGATTTTTTGCAATCTGGGACACCGGCCTTGCATGCGGAGGTCAGTCGTCATGACCGATGCGATCATCGTTAGTTGCATAAGTGACCTAGCACGTCACCATCACCGTTTGCATCGTTCGTCGCAGCTCGCATACTGCTGCATCATCCCAGCGGCTTGCACCGCATGGTCTCCACCCGCATCGTCGGCCACCTACTGCCGGGATTGCAGATGTCTCTTTGCTCGTCTCTACACGGCTCGTAGCCGCCACCCACCTCCACGGCCCGCACGCCACAGCCGCCCGGAACACAGGTTGAACAGGCCATCATAGGTCTTCGAGAGAAGCGGTCGAATTGAGTTTTTTTATATAGAAAATCTGAAACATCTAAAAATAAATAAAAAAAAGGTCTATATTAATTTAAAATTTTACATTAGACCTCTGAATCCTGCGGATTTTATGTATATGTCTTGTATTCTTGAAGAATGGGTCCTATATTTTTTTGGAAATTCCAGATTTGGGGTGTTTTTGAACAAAGCCCCTTTGGGAAAATCGAATACTATGGCTTGTTCTAAGTATTTAAATAGAAATTCCTGCACAATTGTGTGTGTTGTCAATTTAACAGTTGTTTGGATACATTTACAGTATTTATTGTCTATTACTGTATAGTTACCATTTGTTGATAGTGTTATTCTCTTTTGAATGCATTTATTTATCACGCATTATGAATTACATACCATGTAATTGCAAGAATAAAATCTTGAATGGTTACACTAGAAGAAAACATGAAATAAAGCTAAGGTATATGCGCTCTCTAAATCCTGTAGACCTTAGACTTATCATCCTTAAGAGGTTCACATTTGTTTTCCTAGCACAATGAATCTTTAGGATGAATAAATGGTTGGTATTAATTCTGAAAATTAGGACGTGCCATGATTAAATCCTAAAATAATGCTAGGATACTTTTAGGAATATTTTGAATAACCGTCCACTGCCTTTTTTGCACCTTGCTACTTGTTTACATGTATAGTAAACCCACATGCATGCACATGATGATTCCATTTATAATAATAAATACATACCTTTATGAAGAAGAAATGTCCTGGACTTGCCTTGAATGGCAGAATTATATATCATGGTCGAAAAAAAAACTAGAGCTACGGGGGAGAGACGTCCCCACGGTGTTTCACTAAGAAGAACTTCTCACGCAGCTCTAGAAAATCCATGAACCCTGGCCCCACCCATATACAGCGGCACATGCATCCCCGTGAGACGAGACGGCCACAGACCTGTACTTTGGTGTGGGACAGACGAGAGGATTTTTTTACCCTCAAGCCTGAAATTCGTCCTCATGGGGAATCGAACTCAGAACCTGAGAGGTGCCGCCGGAGCCATCTAACCCGTTAGGCTAGAGGACCTTTGGCATATCATGGTCATCTGAATGGCAGTATCATGGTCATTGTTAAATCCTAGCAGAATATTCGAGGTGGAGTAGATCTTATGCATTGTAATGATTGATATTACTCTTAAAGAATGAGTTCGTGACCAAACTAAATCCTAAAAGTCTTATGGGACTCGCTGCATGAGAAATTCTAGAAGATATCCTATATTGTGATTGCATGGCATTAGAAATATTGAAAAATGAATTTTCAAGCTATATGACCATATGGGATGCTCTACAGAAGACTAGATGATAAATAAGACTTTGTCTAATTCCAGATAAAATATTTCTTGAAATAGAAGACTGGGAGCATTGAGTACTAGAAGTATTCAAATTTATCGTCTAGAATTACTCGATATCAAGTAGAATTGAGTTAGAATTTTTAGACATCATTATGAATCAAGATATATGACTTGCATATGTTGTACTCTTGGAAGGATCATAATTACAAATCACAACTAGGAAATAGAGCATGCATGAAGCTGCTAAATGCCAAGTATAGAAGCTAAGACATATAAGAATGGATAAGAATTAGAATATTTAAAAGTTTTCTTGAAGAAGGACTTAAATCATGTGCTTACAGACTTATATTGTCTTCATAATTACTAGTAGTAGCAGTGGTGCATTAAGTGTTGATTTCCGTTGAATTAAGTGGTTCTCATATACTTATAGAAGAGTTAATGGTTAATTTATTAGCTTAAAGACTAATATGAAGCATTTAATATTCTTATAGTTGCAATTCTTACTTACAGTAATACGTGTTAAATTAGCATGGAATAAATAAGATTTATATGTTTCACATATAAACAATTGCCTATTTTTGCCGATTTAAATAAGTTTTTCAATAATTTTATCCACAAAAAAGACTCCATTAACCATGAAGGATATAGTTTTTTGTGCATTACTACTATGTAGGTAGAAGGGAAATTGAATTTCCTGAAAGCACATGAATAATTGGACTATACTAGCATATGAATTGATCTCAGAAGGAGCAATGTAACCAAAAAATAGTATAATCCATAAACTAAATATTTAATACTTCACTTCAGTCCAAAAATTAGAAGTTTATGTTCTACCAAAAATTAGAAGTTTATGTTCTACCCTGAATCTATTGTTGTACACTGAATAGTATACTGGATATGTGAATTTCATATCACAACCAATGAACACTAGAAGTACGATTGGATTCTATGGAACATTAGAAATGATTATTCATAGATGCATGAAGCTTATTACTACTTGAAGTAATTATGGCATGAAAAGGAGGAGAAATTTTGGGTAAGGGCATAACAAAATGTGGGTAATATATTTTAATAGGCATAGCCTTTCTAAATCTATCTTTAAGGTAATCAACATATCATCAACGTATAAAAGCAGCAAGGTATGTCCATGTGGAGAGAGATGAATAGGCAAAGCTGGATCATGAGCACCAGGTGAAAAACCAGCAACCTTTATCGCAGTGACAAACTTCTAAAACCATGCATGAGGAGCCTGTGTTTAAGACCATATAAAGCACGATCAATACAATAGACATATCCTAGAGGAGCACGGCACCTTTGAAAGCTCTAGTTTGGTTTTGGATAATTGATAAAACTTAGGACTAACCTTTGATCTAAATGTGTGATTTAGATAAGGTAGTCCAATCCAAGTGGTGAAGCTAGATGATGGTCATGGTAAAGGTGATGGCCACAAATGAGAGGATCAAGTGCTTTACATTTGGAAAAGAAGAAAGAGAAAAACAGAAATGGGCTCAAGACAAAGGTACAATGATAGGAGCCATTTTTGGTTTGCACTCAAGACACTATAGAGGGTGTAAGTAATTTAGGATCGATAGTCGTACTATAAAGAGGGGAAATCTTTGGCTAAGCGGTTATCGAGTGCCACTAGGTGACATGATTCTTGTATATGTATTTAGAAACCTAGTGTGCTAACTTTGACCCTTGTAAAATGCTTTGAAAAAATGCTAACACA